TATATATATATGAGTGAATTGCATTGTTATATTGTAGAGAGATAATAAATTAAAACATTTGACATTTATTGGAAGGATTTAATGTTGAGTTCACTTGGCAATTAAATGTATTGGAGAATTCCGGAAAATTAGCTAAAGAACCGATAACTCTATAGATTTCCGGTGGACGTATATCTAATAAGGCAATTTTCTCTTTAAATACGTTATCGGCATCATTGCATAAAAATTGAGCAAAGCCGAGGAAAAATAATTGTTGACTATTAAAATGCATATGCGGCAAAGATTCCTGAAGAGCATCTTGACTATGTTCAATCAACCAATTGTTGTAAGCTTGAAAAGCTATACGTATGCCACCATTGTCTGCTATATTGTCTTGTTGTAGATCAGTTTCCGGCAAATATTTACCATTGTAACGATACCGGGCGTATTGACTTTTGAAGCAAAGTTTACGTTTTTGGAAAGCCTTAGCGGAGCCCTCGTCCAACCAGAAAGTACCGTCATTGCTCTGCAGTGGCAGTAAATCATCGAAGCCATAGATAAGTTCTCGAGCTAATAAAAATCCCAAAGTTCCGAATTTTAAAGCTTGCGGATATAGATTGGACCAAATATAGTTGGGTTGTAGGAGAGGTATCGGTAATATGATACGATTTTCAGTCTGTTTATAGATCGGCAAATAATTGTTATTATCATGATTATATAATGGTACATATTGCATATATTTCACTCTGTGACTTAGTATAGCTTTAACATTTTCCACGTAATCCAAATCATTTAATGGCAAATCCTCATATACCGAAGAGAAATTCTTTTGTTCGTACGAATTAATAATCACCTGTATGGTATCCAATTTCTCGATGGCCAGTTTGCGGGTTAAAGGTGAGAGCCAAGCCAACGAATCCGTTTCTAACTGTTTCTTCAAAATACTTTTAATACTTTGCCACATATTTTCAATGTCTTCTGGCATCTGCGGCATATTAAATCTTTCATAGATGATTTTGTCCATTAAAGACGAAAAATATCGTTTACTTTTAACTAAACATAACTCCTCTCTCTCCACTAACGTAATATCTGGATCCATGAAAAACTCTTCAGCCAATTTATAGAGAATATAATTCGCTAATTTTAAAGCAGTTGTATCCTTCAAAACTTCTACTAAATTTTCCTGATAAGCGATCAAGTATTCGTAGAAAGTCATGTTAAGCTTATAACCCAATGCTGTGTTGACAAACTTCATCAAGTCTAAATCAGGTGTGTTACGATTTTCTAATTCTTCAGGAGTTCTTTTAACTGCTTCGGATCTCAAAAGTTTTTCAGTTTTCAATTCCGGTAAGCCTTTCGCTAAAGCAATTTCAAATTCCAATATTGCTGCACTTATTTCTTCTGCTCTTGTCTCGGGTACACCTAACAAATTTTCCAAATTATTTTGTATTTGATTTTGATATCGTTGACGTTGCCAAGCAGTTGCCACTCCCAGATAAACATTTTTATTTCCCAATTTCAATTCGGGTGGACCCACTAGAACAGCCTGCATCGTAGCATTATCAAAATCGTTAATGATTCTCATTTGTAGAATAACATCCAAGCCATAAAGTTGTTGTATTTTACCGATAGCTTGCAACCAATCGAATTCGGTTTCATTAACATTACTCACTTGCTCTGTTTCGTCTATCTCTTCTCCCCAAAGAGATAATATTACACCGAATTCAATAAGTATTTCTCTTAATTCTTCTCTTAATTTTTCCTTAGATTTTCTCTTCAATTGCGTACAAGATCTGTAAAAATCTTTCACTCTTCCAACAGCCAATGAATCTTGTTCACGTTTCTCTTCCTTTAACAACTTCATTTGCTTTTGTTTATATGAAATTTCTAATAAATCATGAAACGAAGTTTTCCGTTTCTCCGAGCTAGCTGCCGGATAAATTTGAGCCCAATTTCCGCAAGCGTAATCATAAAAATTATCGCAAGCATCCGCCTCGAAACGCATATAATTGCGCATTTCAGCCGACTTGGATAAGCACATAATATTTCGCACATATTCAGTATCACTCTGCTCGGATATACGATGTTCATGCACCTGAACTTTTACTGATGCCTTACCTTCGACAAATATGTGATATACATTAGCAAATAAATATATATAAACAATTTGTAAAAGTGTCATTTCAAATGAATTTACTCTCATTTGAGATTTGTATGTTACGTTCAGCGTATTATATAAATGCTCCACCGATCCGACGCTATCCTGTACACTGTCGTCTACGCCGTTATAAAAGCAACTATTTTCCATAATAGATGCTAAAAAATGATGCTTTCCTACCCACGCGATTGCTCTCTTACACATTCACGAATATGTACACACTCGTTATAATTACTCACAATTAATTACAAACAGCTGACTGAGTAGCGTAGAGTTCAAAATGTTATCAATTTCCAGTCCACTAATATGCTGCGTTAAGACTCATTTCATATTTCTCAATTCTTCACTCTTCGTTACAAAATATTGAATGAAAAGTCGCACACATATATTGGTATTTATTTATATTTTTTTTTTGTGCGCATTAATGTACATATACAGTAAGATAAAATATTTTAATAGAATACTTGTCCATAAGGGTAAGTAAGGTAATGTATTATTATTTTTACATCGATTTTTATCTTTTTTAAGACTTTAATGAATATATGTCGACTTATTTGACATATACTTTAAAAAGTTTTGCTTTCAATTGTTACAAAATTTTGGGCGTGTTCAAGAACAGATAACTCGATGACTTCAATCTATAGGCCTGCATGAAGAGAGTATCGCTCAAGGCATTGGGTTTCACTTCCATCTTACCAGTCGCAAGATCTCAACCAATGGACGAGTGGATGAATAAACTAATGATTAGATCTAATCAAAATTTTACACTGATATAGAATATCACATATCTATTAAAGTCGATCTCTCATACCCATTTCTTAAATTGACACAAATTAGTCTTAAGAACTAAATTTTTCTTATCCATAAAATTGTTTTTGATTATTATTTTAATTATAATTAATTTATCCAAAGAAACAAATTCGAAGACTAAAACCTTAAAGCACTAGCATACACACTTATCGGCTTTGTTGAAACTCTACGGCACTTGAGTTTTGAGCCCATGCCCACTAAGTTGTTATTCGAATTTTTGAAATTTATGTCTTAGAATCGAAATATATTTCTGAACTTTAGTTACCCTTATCCACGGCAAAAATCTAATACGCAGAGGCGACAACCCGCGAGTTATTGTTAGACCGTTTAGACCAGACTTAGTTAATAACTCAAAATGTATTCAACCCTAGTCATCAGAATATAAATTTTATTTTCTTTTATTCAGTGAAGAAGAAGAAGTGTGTGCAAGATCCTATTCAAAAATAAATCTTTTCGTTGTTCACGAAAGTATACTTCTTCATTCTTAGTCTTGGTTAGCGGGCGGGCGTTCCCACTACAAATATATAAATAAATTTCTTCACATACAACAGATTTATGTCTGTTCATTTACAAGACCTAAATATAACTAAAAACTGAGTCACTTGAAACCTGACTGAAATCCTTCCTGGACAGCAAACATTTACTTGTTTTTTTTTTTCAAACATCAAAGTAAATGCAACATACTGAAGAACTAGAAAAATGAATTTTTCTGTTCAGCAATTTTTAAGTAAATGTATAGCAAATAAATTAAATTTTGCGCTGATCAAGAACGCAAAGATTTGAACGCTAAAGATTTCTCTTACTGACTTTTGTGTTAAACGTATAGTCGTCTTGGGTTTGAATAGTAAATATTGACTGCAATGATTAAGGGAATTTAGTGAGTATTGGGACTTGAAATTTCTTGCATTCTATCCTGACTCGAGGTCAAGCATGAAGGTATCTTGAATCCATTGAAGGTTTTGACCGCAAATTTGTTTCCAAAAATACTAAAGATGTATAACACAAAATGTGGCACATCCTTGTAGGTAAGCTATTTGCAATCTTTCTCTTTAACTTATGCATGGACGCAAGAGGTAATCATTTCATTTAAAAATAACAGGCGAACTTGTTCCATTTCCATATGAAAAATTCTTTCATTTAAATAAAAAGAATTTCATGCAAAAAAATTAAACATCGATGGATCGAAATTAATGGGATGGACATTTTAGTGTTGTGATCCTGTTTTCCTACCAAACCTAACCCCATTAAATTTCAATTCAAATAATGTCGACTGCAAACCTCTTATTAGCATTACACGATGTCGTTCAGCCTATGGGGATTATGAAGATTGCAATGAGAGCAGTTTTTTGTGAAATTACTAGTACGTGTGTTTGTTTTTTCAAAGAAAGAATAATTGAAAATGACACAAAGACTGAGACAACGAAAGAGAAACGGCATCTAGCTTATATATATACGATGAAATATTTCTTAGGATATGCTTTTCGTTAAGAACTAAACAAATCATGCAATGATTGTCAGCCAAGTTTATCGACCAAATCGTTTGACACCTAGAAAAAGTGGACTCTATATCACATACTCTCTATATCTCCCTACATCTCATAGCTCCTGTATGAATACCTTTTCAATAAGCAAGATTTGCTTTACCGGTATATTGCGCTTTAGGTGATAAGCAAAATTCATGCAGATTTTCCACTTGATTTTCTTCTAAGTGTAGTACAATAATTGCATAATTACTCACTTTCTGTCAGATCTTATTGCATTTCTACAACGCTGGACGTTTTGTTATATTTGTGTCGCACGCAATTATATTCTAGATCATGTTTATAAAATCTTATAGTTAAAATGTAGAATTAATGAAATTCGATGTTACATAAATTACGTTATTATTATTCTTTGCTGCCCAATACGACGAAATATGAAAATACTCTCTTCGTATCGCTATTTGTAAGGTATATAAACAGATGGAGCGGTAGATGGATGCACGATCAGCTTAAAATTCCTATTCAAATATATATATATCTCTGTGTATAGGAAGTTCTAAAATTTAAACAAGATTTAAATTTACCGCCATTTGTACGATGAAGTGTTGGTAAACCCGAAGAAAAAAACGTTTGAGAGCTGACAACTTAGAGTTAGTCAAAATGGCGCACAATATGAAAGCTTGATCATACTTCTTTTTGAAAATGAAGCTGGTCAAGCAGTGGCTGTTACCAGTGCTCGATATCATGCTCTGATAATCCAGCTCTTTCTGCCTAATTAAACGGCTTGTGATTACAACAGGACGTTTTCACATGCCATACATCTCGTGAAATAATTCAATTACTGCATGAGACATTACCTGGTCATGTACTCTCACGTTTCGGTGATCGAAATTTTGATAAAAGAGCCAGCAAAGGTGCGGAGGCCATTTGTTCTATGTATTAGTCCACACATAACCCTATCCTATGTATATTGTGAGGCAGTAAAAATTTTACATTCATTAAACTAAACCGATTCAGTTAAACTTTTATATAAAACTGTCTATTTGTAGCTTCAATCTTCAGATTTAGTTTGAGATTATGCGCCTACATAAGTGTTGGGTGTGTACGCTTTATCAGGCATTCGCTCCAAGAATATACAAAAAATTAAGATGTTGATGTAAATGTGTCTCATTTGAATAAACCGTAAGTAACAAACAGTAGCTTCAATCATGTATTTCATTGATTTATTTATACCCCCACATAAGGGCATATTAAGTTTATGCGAATGTATGCAACACCCAGAAGGACGTTGAATAGAGTCATTTTTTATTATCACTTAATATGAATCCGATTTAAATTTGTCCGTCCGTCTGTCTTTCATATTTTCTTATGTTCAATCTGTAGATCACAATTTGTAAAGCATTTTGACGACGTGTCTTGGCCCAGGGACGAACATTATTGAAAATGTTTCGGATCGGATGACTTTTGACTTGACCTCCCCTCAAAAAAAACCTTATTTTAAAAGCTCGTTATGTTAATTTTCAATCTTAAACAAAGTTGAGTAGGGTATTTCACGATGGGCCGGGCCACGTCCCATAATAATATTTTCACTTGTTTCTTCCAACAGAATAAATTTACAATAATTATGGGGTTCTGAAATGCAATTATAAATGTATATATATATATATACATATATATATATATATGCAGATAGAGGAAAGAAAAAGATCGAGTGCAAAATTGTAAGCATGACTCACACCACAAAGAGTAATAGCATAGATAGAGAAAGAAAGAGTAAATCGTTTAGAATGAAAAATAGCCAACCGATGGCAGAAGTTAATGCCAGCCGCCAGCTTACACTAAAGCACTTAAATGATTATCCCCCTTCGAGCCTTCGCATTTTTTAATTTCATCGTCATTCCTACTATGCGTATTCGTTTTTTTTTTTTTTTTTTGTTTCAATTCCTCTTTGAAATTGATGTCATTTTTAAAAGATTTGTTGTTATTTATTTTATGAAATCACTGATAACCTTCTGATCTTCTTCAATGAATGAATCTACAAATGCACTTAATACCCATTAAAGAGAGTAAAACCTGCAATCTATCATCTCATCACATAGCGAATTATTACAAAAAAAAATTTCAATTTTTCAGTACATATTTTGTATTTAAACGCTAAGGTTTAGAAAATTTAAATTTTTGACAATTTCATATTAAATTCAATGAAAGGATCATACACACACACACACACAAACATTGAAATGAAAATGCTGCAACGTGTAATGATTTTATGCAATTTATTTGCTATGCCAATTCATGGTACGACATTATTTAGTGGCAAAGATCCGGCATATGTGAATCAAATTTTGCGTCTATCTAAAGAATATGAAATTCGGAATTATCTTAACGAAAGCGTGAACCCGTGCGAAGATTTTTATCAATTTGCTTGTGGTAATTGGATTAAATTGAATCCCGCCAATACAGCTGAACATATTATAACTGGAATCTTTGAGAAAGCTACCGAAGATGCTGATCGTAAAATTATTGCCGTCTTAGACAATGACGAGACAGCCGAAGATGAGGCTAAAGAGGCTGATAAGAAAATCAAAAATCTTTACGAATCGTGTGTCAGCATCGAGACAATACAAAGTAGTTATCCCGCAAAATTATCAGAAATTATAAGTGAATTTGGTGAAATGCCACTCTTAGTGAACGAATGGAATGAAAATGATTTCGATTGGTTGGCTATTATTGGGAAAATTTTCTATAAATACGATATACAAATAATAATGGGTGGCAAAGCAATGATTGACTTTAACAATAATTCACGGAATATGATATATGTGGGTCATGGTAATTTTCCGTTACAATCGCGTTCAATGTATGTCGATAATACAACGTCTGTCTATCGCGACTTTCATCGTTCAAATATAGCACGGGATCTTGGAAAATTCTTAGGCATAGATAAGAAATTAACTCAGGACGCGGCTAACGAAATTTTCGATTTTGAAATTGAATTAGCAAAGAGTCTGGCAGATGATCGCTCCGCAATTCGTATCGATGATATGTGCACATTGACAACTGTCGATGAATTGAATCGCAAATATATGCCCGATTTAGATATGAAACGTTTATTAAATATAAGTTTTGGTCATCCAATTGTAGGCGAAATATACGAAGTGGTTGAAGATTATCAGAAAAATTTAATCGAAACTATGAAAAAAACACCTAAACGCGTTGTAGCTAATTACATTTTTTATACGTTAATGAATGAGTTCACGTTACTAAAAGCCGATACGGTTGAAAAGCAAAAAAATCGTTGCGTCAGCTATGTTAAAAAACATTTCGCTGATGTTTTAGATAATATGGTTTATCGTAAGTACATAAAAAATCATACCGAACTTGATGTTTATTCCATATGGCATGAGTTGAAGGCGACGTTTAAACGAATGTTATTATCGCCTGAGCTCGGTTGGATACAGAGACAAACACTTGAATATGCTGCAGAAAAGATGGAAGCTATGCAATTGGAAATAAGTTCATATAGTGATAAAAATTTTACAGCCGAATATCATAATTTAACAATAAATCGTGACGATTATGTAAATAATTTAAAGCATATAAAGTCATTTTTTGCCGCAAGGGATCGGAAAAAGATGTACGAACCACCCGAGACACTGGATGTGGGTGAAATAATATCGTATACACCAGTGAATTTACTTTTAGAAAATAAAATAAAAATTCCTGTCGCCTTATTGCAACCGTATTTTCTATGGTCGTCGATTTATCCCAATGCGTTGAAATTCGCAACAATTGGTAGCTTAATCGGTCATGAAATTATACATGGCTTTGATGATATGGGACGCACAATCGATAAATATGGTAATAGTAAAATTTGGTGGGATACGAGATCTACAGAAGCGTTTAATGAACGCGTTAAATGCTTCATCAATCAATATCATCAGTACAAGTATGGAGGAATCGCTCTACCTGAAATGCCAAAACAATCGGAAAACATAGCTGACAATGGCGGTATACGATTAGCCTATGAATCTTATGTAGATTGGTATAGGAGATCGGCGACAAACTCGACTGTCGTCAAATTGGAGAAATTCAATCATTTAAAGTACACGAATGAACAGTTATTTTTTATCAGTTACGCTCAATTATGGTGCAGTGATGCTCATCCGGCCGTACTTAATATGCAATCGTCCGATATTCATGTGCCTAATAAATATCGTGTTATTGGTTCGTTATCAAATTTCGTGGAGTTCTCGAAAGCATTTAATTGCCCAATTGGCAGTGCCATGAACCCAGAGAAGAAATGTATAATATATTGAATTAAAATAAAATAAAATAAAATAAATTAAAAAAAATAAAATGAGTTTTACTTACCGTGTGTTAGTATGTTAATCGTTTCGTTGTGCCAGTAAAATAAGCTAAGTAAACAGCCCTTGAACGTTTGTAGCGGACGGTAACCCTTGAGTACATATGGATTGAATTGTAAATATTGAGGCATATCCTGCCATTGCAATAATTCGGATTCGAGTAAGCCGGAAATCGATGACGATTTCGTTGGTGATATGGTGGCAGGTGTAGCTGTTGTAGAGGCAGGTGTAGTTGATGCTGGTGTTGTTGAAATTGATGAAGTTGTTGAATTTGTTGTTGTATTTCCCGATGAAGACGATATACACGAGGTAGAAGAAGAGAAAACGGATGATGGCGATTCTTTTAAATCAACGGAAGTAACGACAATTGGAAGCGTTTTAGTGTTAATAGACAGCAGTTGAGTGCTTTCCCTAATTGATGTTGTTGTTGCTGTTGCCGCTGTTGTTGTTGTTGTTGTTTTTGTTATAGTTGCTGTCGCTATTGATTGATTTTCTTCATCTTGCGAATGTGATGAAATCGTAATTGCTTTGGTGTTTGCTTCTGATTTAAAGGCATTGCCATTACGCACTAATATCGGCGTATTAATCACAGATGATGTCGTTGATGCGGAATTCGAATTCGAATTGGATTTGGAAGATGAATCGGAACTATTTGTTATATTGCATACATTCTCTAATTCATCTTTTATTATGATGGCAGCGGTAGCAGCGGTAATTATGGGCAATGGTTCCACCTTTGGCTTATATTGCTTTGACGGAGATGATTGAGGTGATGGTGACGGTGTCACAGACATACATTTCACATTGCTACCAAGATATTCATCACTTTCCATATAATGAATAGAGCCATTTGTACGATCCATCAATCCGATGGTATGAGAGATATTGGCTCGATGCCGTAATACATTCGACTCTTCTCCATTGCTAGCACCAGCCGCGGTAGTGTATACATTGACATTTCTAATTGCTTCTAGCGATGTCGTAGTCGTTGTTGTTGTTGTTGTCGACTTAATGCTGCTGCTGCTGTTGCTGCTGCTGCTGCTGCTGCTGCTGCCTTTACAATCGACAGCAGTTTGCATGATTTCTCTCTTCTTGTTTCTCTTTTTTCACTTAATATTTAAAAGAAAATTCTGAAAGAGAAGAATTTAAAAAGAAATCACATTAAAAAAGCAAAAACATTACGAATACCGACTGATTAAATAAAAAATATTTTGCGTGTTGTTAATTATTATTTTCATGGAGATAGTTGCTTTATTAAAAGTTGTAAACGTGCAATTTTAAAAAGCACTTAATGAATATTAAAGTAGTTGATATGACACCTGTAAAGCAGGACAACAATGTTAGTTAGTTAGTTAGTGCGATGGCAGCTAAATTTATTTCACAAAATGTTAATTGCTTGAATGTACGTACACTCAGGGGTTAAATGTAAGTATAATAATCGCCTCGCAACAGTAATAAATGAAAGAACGTTTCGTTACTTAACTTGACTTTTCAAGCTAAAGGATTATTTCTGCCCTTAACGGTTCTTAAAAATACTGAAAAAATAGCAAAAAGTTAATTTAATCTTTTACACGAACGAAAAATTTTACTTTTCTTTTTCTCGGTAAGGACATGTCTAATATGTTGTTCATGAAGATATATACAAAACACATTTCTAGCACATTGCACGACCACACAGATTTTTTAATGCTACGTCATGTGTTTCTTTGTGTCTGCGACATACGTTTGATTAAAGTTACTTACTGATTATAACTGTTAAAGCTCACATGTGTACACATTTATGCGGCTTATGATTATTAAAGAATAGACAACGTAACTTGTGCATTAAATCTCGCCGGTTAGGCTAGACGGTGGCCCTTTGAGAAAATGGAAAGTCAAAACGGAATTTCCGTTTGATGTGTGAAATGAATAAATTAACACTGCACTGAGTAACTTCACATTAAGCTCTGAGCATCCTTACATCCTTACATCTTCGCTGGTATGCGAAAAATTTAAAAAAAAAAACACTGTTAAGTCTAACGCTGGAACAATGCATAAACATAGAATTGCGATATGCTAGTTATATTGTTGCCCTTGTATTACCAAGGAATTCACATAAGAAAGGCCACTGACTTAATCACAAGAGTACATCTGTCGGAAAGGAAAAAACTTGAAACTTGAGGTTAATTTTTTTAAATGACGGAAAGCGGAAAGATAGTCTGAAGAATATGCGGGGTGCGCGTAAGGCTACTCAGCCTAAGTAGAACATAATTTTTTTGACTGGTTCTGGGGAAGATGGATGGACTTTTATGCGATTTTCACAACTAGCTCTCGCAGACCAATTTTTGTCTCGTAGCTTACTGCATTTTCAATCCCAGCCGACTGATTTTATTTCCACACCTTTAGCTGGATTTTTTTCTTGGTCAATTCAGTTAAAAATACAGGAAAAGGCAGTGCCATAAAAGACATTCATCTTTTTAAATTTTGATATTCGCTGAACGACAGCTTGAAAACGACTGAAACTTACATCATTCATAGTTATTTATATCTGAAATTTCACTAGAATTGAACGCGTCAAGTGTTGTTTAGAAAGGGACTAATTTCAGCGAAGCGAATTTATTTGCTCACCTAATAGTTTGTCTAGCCGTTGTAGTAAAATTGAATGTGTTCTGCTAGTACTTTTAAGGCATCCATTGGATTAGTCATTCATAATTAGTGAAGGGTATCGCGGTCCCGAAGCATAGGTTTAATTATAAGATTTTACTCCTAACTGCAAGTTGCAGGCATATATTTTCTACGAATCCATTGGTACTTTGGAATTGTATAACCAAGACGAGTTCTTACAAGTGTGTATGCTTGGTTGCATATGGCGAGACAAGATTAAAACTAACATGAGACCAGTGTGGATGCTATTATACACTTTCGATTTTATCCTTTTGATTTCATTTGCCAATATATTTTTGAAGGTTCGTCTTATCAAATGTGTTCTCCATTATTTACTTGTGCGGAATTCACAGGTTTGCTTCCCCTTGCCGAGAGACCCATATATAATTCGATATGCATAAAAATTTTCAACTTCCTATCTACAAACGTAGCCGACGGTATCCTTCACTTCTAATGATGTTCTACCTGAAATTCAAAGGGCTTCAAATAGCTTCTATAACCGATACATTCTTCGCTTAGCAAGTAGAAAGACAAAAATAAGCCTGAGTACGCAATTGAAAGAATGACATTGATTCGATATTGAATAAGAATCACTTTCTATTTTTAATTGAGGTAAAGTTATTTGCAAAAAAAAAAAAGACTAAATTATCTCAACCCGAGCTGCAAAAGGTCTGCCTATATATATATATATATATATACATAATAATAATAATACATAAGAAGATAACTTGTAATGAAAAATTTTTGCTTAAAGACATTAAAGAATTTTTTGTTTAAAATCTTGTAAATTTTATTGCCAACAAAGTAAATTTTAAGATAAATAACATAAATTTGCACTTTGCAGATGTTTCCTAAACATATTGGCATAAAAAAACAATAAATAAAGAATTTTCTTTGGCATTTTCAAGGTTTCCTCCTAATAAAGAAGACTTGAAAGCAGACCAACAAACTTAGGTAATTGCTTGCATTATTGAAAGTATTTCAAAAAGGCTTACCGCCTTCACAATACACACTTTTAAATAATTTTATAACAAAAAATTTTGCTTTTGAAAATTCGATAAACGTTTTCAAGCAAACGTTTTCTGCAAATTAGATTATATTTAACTAAAAAAAAAAAAAAAAGAAAAAAAAAATATTATCATGTTAAAGCATAACATTTAAACCATTTAAGGAACAATTGGCTTTTACTTTCATGCACATAAATTTTTGATATAATAAATTAAATTAAGATAAGAACCCAAAACAAAAAAAAAAAAAAACACTGATAAATGAGTTAATTTGCATATGTTTTTCAAATATCACAAACATAAATCTATTTTGAAACAAAGTATATAGAAATTTGTAAAGAAAATTTTTGTGAAATATTTTCAAGCAATATTCAGCTCTTTTCCAAGAAATATTCAATTCTTATTAGAATATAAAAAAAAAAAGGTAAATATATGCAACAGATATAGTTTTGCATGCTTAAGGGCCCAACACAAGCAAGCCAAGCACTCATCACACTTAAGCTTAACATGAGCTAAGGCCAATCCTTTAAAACGAAGATAAGTCCCGTAAACTGGAGACACAATGAATCAGCGTTCACCATTAGTAGGATCAACAATTCTCTTAAATGTCGAAAGTGATGAAAAAAATGTTCGCATTCTATCAATCCTGATCGTGATCTTTGCCAAAATTAGGAAAAAAGAGCAAATAGTTTTCTTTTCTTACGCTAAGGCTCTTTGCCTAAAGCTATATAAACTTGCTTCAAGCTTTAAATCTACAATTAACTAAATGGGCTCAACAACCAATAATATTTCCAATGAGTTTCCCAAAAAGGCAAAAATACCATGAAAGTCTCTTCTTTCTATCTCAATCTTCTTAGCATTTATTATCGACCTCCTGTGCATATGCCCTTTTTCATTTTCAGACGACACCAGCTTGCATGCACTCGTTCTCTTTCAATAAGAGACCGAGCTAGAAAATAAATCTTACACGGCCGACACAAGAATCAAGACTTCACAAAAATAGGGTATACTAGGCCCATACTAAAAGCTCCAACGGCAAAAGCAAAAAACATAAATCCAAAAGTTCCTCTTTTGAATTCTGCGTGTCTCAAAAGAGTACGAAATTTGAAAGCTACCTGGCATACAGTTACTTTGATCCACACAAGTCAATACAATACAAATAGAAACATGGACGCAAATCGATCAAAACCTTTTTTTTCTTTACTATGTTCTTACTGTTTTCTAAGCATTCTATGTGGATGAAAGTGTTGCTATATATATATATATATAATATCCATGTTCCGTAAAGGCCCGTTAAGTATTTAGGGAAATAAATACATTTTTGAGTTCAAGTTCGAATTAGTTACGATTTAGTGCCGGAATACATGACTAGAAAGAAACTGAATGAACACCTGAAGAATTGAAACTTTTAATCAATACAAACATTTACTCAAACAGTAGTGGGTTACGTATGAAGCAAAGAATATGATGATAGGATGGACAAAAATATATTTTATTTTTAGATTCGCATTAAAATACATTATGATATGAAAGGTATTGTGGTGACTCGTAATTTGTTTTCTATGTAAATCAGATATTACAACTGACAACTTTTATTACAACATCACTAAGTTGGTTAAGTTAACGTGAAAAGCAATATGTTTCAGTCGGTTATTACTTTAGCTTCGCTTTCGACACGGAATGCATAAATTTACAAAACTTTCTTATATATATTTATGCGAGATAACAGCCTTCTGGCTGCACTCGCTTTACAAAAGTTTTCACAAATTGCTAGCTTCGCAGTCGGTCAACTTGTACAACTTTATATTAAATCGATAATAGAGACGAATTTTACTCTCTTAGGAAAAAGTCATCTCTACTGGAGTTTAAGGTGTTTTTACTGAAATAAATTATTTGCAGAAATTTTTCATCCTTTCAAGGACGAGTGTATACATTTACACTTTACCGAGGCAATTGATTCAAGAATGAGCGATTAAACGGTAACTTTTGTTTTCAAATATATGCGAAATTTTTCGCATTCATTAGCAAGGTCTGGGAAAAGGGGCTTTTACATTACTTGAAACAATGAGCAGATTTTTTTTTTAAATTACGGTAATCATTACATATCAGTCATTTATTATGCATATTTTTTTACGTTAAAACATTTACGGTAATAAAAAAATCGTTGATTTATAGATATTTAAAACTTTTACTTACATACAAACAAAAATTGATTTATATTTGTTGACGATGCTAGCAGCATGTTAACAAAGTATTTATTTAAAAAAATACCGAAGGATGAGAGATGAGAGGTGTATTCCTTTTTGTCGAAACGTTTACAACATTCAGAAGGAAGCTTGAGAGATCCCATAAAGTTTGTGATCAGGACCAAAATTTTAATCCGATAGAAATGATTTCCATCTGTCCTACCTACCCTTCTGAGTAATATCTGTGATAAACATTCTCCTGATCGTAGTAAGCTAGAGCCAAATCGTTTAAAT